AAATCTGAATCTAAATGTTAAATCTAAATCTAAATGTTAAATCGGAATCTAAATCTAAATGTTAAATCTAAATGTTTCGGGTGAAACTAAATATTTAACTAATATGCAAATTCAAATGCCGGTAACAGGAAGTACCAAAGTAAAAGGTCGAGGAGGTCAGAGTGTGTCTATAGTGGCAAATAACGAATAAAACCCATCTTATCCTGGGAAATGGACTCTTGGACATGGAATATCGTGATAATAACTACATAAAATAACAAACACGTTTGGAGAAACTTTATTTGAAGAGTACTTTGAGTTTTTAGTGTCACTTTTATGAAGAATGCGGGACTTATGACCTGTAGCCACTATAGCCAGCCACAGGGGGGTGCACTTTGACTGATCTGTCATGTTATATATTATGTTAGATATTCTCCGCTAACGCCGATTCATTCATCGACATGTTTGCAGAGCGACCATGGCCAACAGGAGAGTGTACCGGGTGGAGGCGGGCGAACATGACAGATCAGTCAAAGTGAGAACATTACCTAAACATAAATAAACATATGGTTTATTATATAGGTTCCATAGGTTAAACAAATGTCTCATTCATATAGTCTCTATTTTTGCAACAGACTAAAAAAATACACTACCTAAGACAATGAGTCTTGGAGACTCAGGAAGCGGCTTTGTTCTCTCAATGTCGGCTGCTTTTGAGAACACCTGTTAGACAAAGAAAAAATAAACTGAAAACATTATCACCATTTTGAATTGAAGACATTATCATCACCCTCAGCTCGCGGCGTGTTATTACTCGTGGTGTGTTGTACTCGCAGTCGGCTACGCTCTCTCTATTCATTCAGCCTAGAGATATCTCGTCCCTAATATTTTGCTAAGAAAGCTTCTTAGAGCTTCTAGAAGGCAACTTTTCAGCGCAAGTTAAGTTACTACTTGAATCACATTTTAATTCTGTAGGCCAATAACATCTTACTTAGGCTTTACTGAGTGGATGGATGTCGGGTTCGCTCCCGTGTCCGCCATCAAATGTCATGTCCTCTTTCAAACCGCCTTCTAATAACAGTGTTTAACTGTAAATAGACATGTACATGAATGAAGCAGGCGGGACAAGGATTTTGATTGGTCAGTGTTCAAACTCTGTTTTAAAGTCTTGAAGTGCTTGCTCTGAATTGTGACGATCTAAAGTTTAGATCAGAATCTAACTTATAAAATTCTAAAGTATTCAGCTGCATTCTTTTGCAGCACAAGAGAGTTACATTGGCAGCTATGCCTTAAACATTATATTTTATTAAATGTTGATTCACTGGGCTAGTGCGTCAAAAAGCAGACTAGTAGGGACTTTGGTGCTACTAGTGTGGTGCAGTGTTACTAGTAAGGTTGCTGTTGGAACTAGTCAGACAAAATTGCCACTAGTTGCTGAAAAAGAGTGACTAGTAAGAGATTTTGTTCAAGTAGTACAATAAGATGCTGCACTAGTGTGACCAAATGTCCACTAGTGCTGTACAATTGTTCATTTAATTTCCACTTTAATGTGCTAATGTACATGTCATCTAATTTACAAGGATGAGGCTCACTCAGATTACTGAGAGATGTACCTGGAAATGAGGGACGACATCTTGTAGATAAGGTACATTTTCAGAATGAAATATTTTGATCATGAGGCCACATTATCGTGATATGTGAGAGACAAAAACACCTGGAAGGTCACCAAAGTTATGTTTCTGTGATTTTCCAGCATTTTCAGTCAGCAGTTATGTTCAAGTATAATAGGAACATGAGTTATACAACCAAAGAGTTTGTTATAGAGCTTCTGATTCAACTCTTACTACCAAGAACAGGAGAACCTTTGACAAGGAGCACTCATGAAGTAACAGTAGCTTATTAACACAGTTCATGGAGGCTTCACCTTCAGTGTGTTACCCATCTGTATATCAACTGCTGTTGCTGTAAGTTAGTCTAAATGCTACTGCGAAACATAAACATATTATTAGTAATTATTTTCAGGTGAAATGCCCCTTTTAAAATGCCATTGTTCCTTCGAGGCTTTGACTTCATCAGACAATGATGTACACATATTACGAGAGAGCATCTCATCGGAAGAAGGTTCAGAGTCAGCAGAAAATCACAATGCTATAGGCCTACTAGTTCCATGAGGCTGCTAACCTGTGTTAATGTGTGTTATTTTAAATCCATGAGGATGTGGTGATAGTTCAGTTTAACATAATGTAATGTTATGTCTTCTTACATGTGGTTCAACAGTAGCATTAACTTTCAGTGTTTTGTTGTGATAACCTGCTGTTTGTCTACACTGATTCAGGTAAAAAGTTTTGTAGTTGATTGTTACCAACGGATTCATTCATTCTTTTTCTGTTTCTCTATGCTTATGTGCTTTTGTATGTTATGTATGTGTTTTAATCATCCATGAATCTACCAGAGGCAGAAGGACTGAAACTTTAGTTGATGATAACGTGGAAGAACTGGACCTCATCAAACGATCCCGATAACTGATGTCAACAGAAGGAAGACCTCATGTATGAAGCAGCATATTTGATATCATTCTTCAGGATACAGAGAGAGACTGGATAACAACATCCTTAATTGTTTAATGAGATGTGATGATGATGATTTCAATAAACAACCTCCAGTTCAGTGTCCATGGATGAGATGACAGACCAACAGAACATTGCTTTAATTCTCTATATTCTCAGGTTTACTTTTTTACCTATTACATAAATTACATATAACATAGTTTTTAGGGTTGGTAGTAACATTATTTAAACATAATTCAAAAACTATTAAACTTGAATTAGGTGATCGTTCAACTTCAGCAGTTACAACCTTCACAAGTTATGTGACCAATGTGATGTGAAAAGTCTTCAATCGTAAACAGCTGTAACTTTAAAAGTAAAAGTGTTTACTTAATCTCTGATATTTAAATTTTGAAGCCACAGTGTATGTGATTGAACATAAACCTAACCCTACCCAATATGATTAAACTGTACTAAGTACATTTTCCAAACATGACAAACATGACACTTTGGTGAATTAATATTTTCATTGTCACTAACGTTTGTCATAAGAAACCAAAGTATTACCTCATAGCTTAATTGTAAGTGATTTGATTAAAACCAAAATGTAAAAGGCCTGTGATTAATTCCAGGCCTACAACACATTCAGCAAAGTGTTCTTTGCTGAAAGTAAAAAAGTTTAACAGGGTGTAGTTTAACTGTAATGATAGTGATGGAAACAGCCCAGGATCCGTTTTTCATCACAGTTCATGCAGCAGCTCACAAGTGATGTCTCATTTTCTGCAGATCACAACAGTGTTAAAAAATATTATATAATAACACAATTTAATGTTAGCTTGCTAACTTCAGCTGCAATTCATTACTACTCTGAAATATGTGGCTATCCGTGTCAGCAGCTATATCTAAGCACAGTCGGGAGCTTGGTGTGGTCAGTAGCCGGTGTAGGTGGACGTGTCTATAGTCCTTGGGTTGACAGTTCAGACCCACCTCTCCAGCTCCTCCTTTTTGTCCAAATATGGTAACGTAGCCTCAGTCTGGCTCCAAACCATCAAGATGGATCTGATCAAATTTGAAACTCTTGGCTTCAAAACTGCAGTACACAAACCGATGGGTGATGTCACACTAGGTTGCTACTTGGTCTGGAGAGGCCTTTTCTTCAACAGGTCTGACCAGGCACCTGGCCCTCCCCCACCTGGCCAGCCCTTCTACAACCCGCCTTGTCTGCAACCCCAGTGTACTGCTCTGTTTGGAAAATATGATTAAACGATCACGTGAAAACAATTGAATCGACATATAGTACATATAAATGACTTATATAACAATATATTATTGAAATACATTAATATGATGAGGATGTTTAAATTTCTGTAATGATATTATTGGATTTTAAACCACAAAAGGAATATAATCAAAGCATTCATATTCATACAGCTGGCAAATTAACACATTCCAAATTCAGTAATATTATTAGTAGTAAATGTGTAAATTCTGTATCACTTCATCTCAGATTACAACACTGAAGAGAATTTCAGCTTATATGTGCATAGACATGTTGGTATTCAGTACATTTTCAGCAATAACAAAAAGAGTTATACCAAAATAAATCAATTAAGAAAAAAAACTCACTTCTGATAAACATTTTGGGTGTGTGAGTTGTGTGATTCGGGTTATGGTAACTTTTTCAGCATATAATTGCAAATCTATGTAATGTCCCTTGGTGTGAGCTAGGACAATATGCGTGTGTGTGTGTGTGTACTTCTCTTGATTCTTTGTGAGGACCGTTTTGTGCCTAGACCCTAAAGACATGTATAATGTATAAACGTGTGTGTGTGTGTGATTAAGAGGGTTTTCAGGTGATTTTGAAATGGAGCTGGTAACTCAAAGCTGGATCGACTCCTCAATAATCAGGGCGAGGATGTGGCACAACTCCTTGGCCTGAAAGAGAGATCAAACATGAATCCACAAATCTCCAGGATTAACCTGACATCTGGCCAGTCTATTTGAAATGTCACTGTTTACCAGATTTAACAGCAATTTAGCTGAGAAATACTTTGGTGTTTTGTGTCTTATAAAACTAAGAAAAACATTCCCACTACATTTCACAAGTGAATCCATATGATTGATTGCCATTTTACACAGAAATGGAATATGTAATCATTACCTGTTTGAGATGAATGGTGACTTTTTTGGGATGAGCTGAATTGCCATAATTGATGTCGACTGCTGGCACTTTGCCTTGTCTCTTTGGGCGAATGGTGTGCATGGACTGTACATCTGCCAAAGAAATCATAAACACCTCCTCCTACATAGGAAAGAAATATGAATCATCAGATGGGTGATACTGGCTTTTTTTGCAGTCAGTGTCATAGTTCTGTTATTCACCAGGGATTCTAACCATTTGCTGGAATTTTTATCAGTAGAAAGATCTGTGTCCCAACAAAGGTCAAATGCTTCTTCAAATCAATGACTGTAATAAAGATGGACAACACATCCCACTGTACAAAAATGAAGTCACAATATACTGGTGCTGTCCTTTGAAGCCAGTTTTCGCTGTAGTGATCATGATCCCATCAATACACCTGCCTGATCAATCACTAGACAATCTCAGCTGTCAATCGTGACATATCACCCCATTACTGGTGTACTTGTACTTGCCACTTCTGCTATTCAGCTGTTAGCTTCGCCAATCAGCTTGTAGCCTATCCATGCAAGCCAGCGATCCGTCAGTGTGTTATCTCTCGGAGGGTCTCTTTGATATTAAACAATTGTAATCTTCTCAGCCAAAACAATAACAATATGTTCACCATTCATGTAAAAAGACAGTGTCTAGGTGAAATGGAGAGGTGTATCAATGTTTCAAGTTTTAATACAGAAGAAAATGTCAGAGATGAACACAGCAGCAATGACAATTGTAATGATTACCAGTGATTTAGGTTCACTTGAAGGCTCATGGAAATGTAGACAGGAATGCTTCAGTTCAGGCAGACACACCCTATACTTTTAAGCTTAGCTTTTTTTGGTTCAAATATTTTTAATAAAGGATTGTGTGTTGAAGTACATTGGATTTATTGTTTATGTTTTGCTTTTTGCTGTGGTAACGAGACTTGTGAAAATTTCATTGTATCTGTTTTGGCTACTAAAGTTTTGGAATTGTGATGTCCCTAGTCAATACTGTGGTTGATACATGTACCTGTTTTGTAGGGTGAAGAAACAGCACACCCTCCTGGCTTACGCTGACCAAACAGGGGGAGGGACAGCCACTCTGGCTCACCTTCTGGGCCAAGAAAGTGTTGGAACCAAACAAAGGCAGACTGCTTATAAACTCTGAAAGACAGGAGGTTCAGGCACATATAATTGTCATCAGTTATCATGTAAGAAGGAGAGTAGAGGAGAAAGAGTAGCTAAGATGAAGTACTACCAACCAATGAAGCCTGTTTTGGCATCTTGAGGGCTGAGAGACTGCATTGCAGCTATTTGACCCAGACAGAAGGAATGGATCGCCTCAGCGTTACTGCTGAATCTGTCCTGTGAGGGCAGGTACTCCTTCATCTCTAGCCTAGAGAAATACAATCATACATTGTCAATATAAAATACATATGGGTTCCACTTTGACTTTTGGACCCATTTACATGACATAAACAGTTTGGTGTAGTCTGGGCTGCAGCCAGTTAGGAGGTCAGAAAGCTATTTCGAAGGCATAGCATCTATAGCTTTGTAAGGAGGAATCATATTATATGCAGCTAGTGGAGTGTACAGGTGTCATGTGTTGTGTTTTCTTAGTCCTAGTTAGCATTCTGTCTGCAGCATTTTGAATGAGTTAGCATTGCAGTAATCTAATCTGCTGGAGATGAATTCATTGACCAATTTCTCTGAGTCCGACTGGGACAGGAAGTTCCTCAGTTTGGAGATGTTTTTTAAATATCTCTATCTTTTCTCCCCCCCTTCTCCACCCATCTCCCCTCTCCTCCCATTTTTTCTTTGGCAGATGACCGCCCACATTGAGTCTGGTTCTAGAGGTTTCTCTCTGTCAATGAGGGAGTTTTTCTCTCCACAGTCGCCAAAGTGCTGCTCATTGTGGGAACTGTTGGGTTTCTCTATATTAATAACATTTGTTAAGTGCCTTGAGATAATGTAAATTATGATTTGGCGCTATACAAATAAAATGTAATTGACTTGAATTGAATTAAGAAAGAGTTTGTGTCTGAGCATGTGGTTTAGAAAAAAGTCGGCCACAACCAAGACCTAGAGTGGAAATTGGACCCGAAACGAGGATCTTCTTCCCAGAAGATAAAAGTGCTACCATGAGGAGTCTGAAAAGTTTCTTCAATAGCTCAAATTGACCTTGTGACCCCCTGCTTTGGTTTTTGTACCACCAATTTACAAACGTCTCTCAAATCACATTTACTCTCCTGAATTGAAAAACAACTTGGGAGTGACTGTGATTTAACTCTTTACTGCATTATTTTATAAGATATGAAATCATCTAATTGATTGTTGATGCATGCCTTTTTCCTGTAGTAATATAATTTGAATTTAAGTTTTAAAAGTTGACCCCCACAGTTTCACCCATAGATAAGGAAGTATTAGTGAACAATAAATAATATGCAAAGCGTTATGATTTTATGTGTCTAGATTTGTACAGGATTGCTATTAACTTTGAAATCTTATCTTTGGTGTCTTCCGTATGTTTCCATGTTAATTTATGACAATCAAAACCCCAAAAAATTTAAATTCTTTAAATTTGGTCTTTTTTTTATCGAACTAAGGGTTGAGGATTTCCAGCTCACTTTTGAATTTTCTTAAAAAACGTTCCAGAACAAAATATTTTAGTATCTTCTGCAAAATAGCAAACTTTAACAACTCTGTAACATTAAAAATGTTATTAATATAAAGTTATGGACCAATCACAGATCCCTGTTGTACGCCACAGGTTACCATCCTAAATTGTGACACAGTGTCGTTGATGTCAATGCATTGCTGTGTGTTTTCCAGATAGCTTTTCAGCCAGGACTAAGCTGGGCTCTGGACTAACTTTTTACATTGGTTGCACTGGAACGGTATTTTGAGAGTTCTGGGCAGCAAGTAAGGCTGTAGGGTAATTTGTGTATTCTATAACTCAGCAATAAAAGTGTTTTTAATTCTGTTGATTAGGAAAACTAACTCATTGGATGGGATTGAACAATGAGTTTGTCTTCCTCAGTGTCACATACCGAAATTGATCAGTATTGCATTTTTTAGATCAGTGTGTGACTCACAGTGAGGGCTGATTTCTTTGACCTCGAGCCAGATGCTGCAATGCTGAGAGCTCTGCCATGTGCTGAATTGATGCGGAACCTCCTTCAGCAGGAGGAAGGATCAGTCGCCCATTCAAATAGTCGCCCAGGAGCTAGAGTTACACACACATAGACAGAAAGTTGTTATATAAGTAACAATGAAACTGAAACTGAAGCAATGAATAGAAAAGTACTATTATTAACTCATCTTGTTACCTGTTGATAGTGGAAATCCATATAGAGGTCACTCTTGAAGGACAGAGGGCTTCGCCACATCACTCTCCTCAGAGAGAAGAAGATGGAGTTGTCATCCAGTGGAAAGTCAAAGAGATACTCCTTAGCATGGAGGGGACGCGCAATTCCCTCTGACAGAGGAGGAGCAAAGCAGTGATGAGCAGGGGCAAGAGACACATCTGTTAATATGTTACTAAGGTTTGGAATGTTCTTGAAACATATCTGTTAAAAAAAACAATCAAAGCAGATCCAAGATCCTTTCCTTTTGGGGTATTTTTTGCTAAAATTATGAATTGACTCATAGTCCAGCTTGACTTGACGTAACAACCGTGGGTTACCCACTACTAATTTAACTAAAACTTATCTTTCCTGCTATATTTAAAACACCTGATGCTTGCGTGCAAAATGAGGTGTCCCTCAAGGCTCCATCATGGCCCTTTATTGTTCAGTTTATACATGATACTACAGGGACATATCTTAAAGAAACACAAAATCCACTCGCACTGCTCACCCGAAAGTCTGTGGGCCAGTATTGATGCAAAATCTGTATCTGCATGTATCTTAAATGACACTGTGAATATACTTTTGGCCCATTCTTGGGTGAACAAAATATGCAAGAGTAGTCTTACATGTCACTGTTTATAACATGTGACATTTATCCTTTGCCGGTTGGACTGCTTTAAATAAAATCTGTGGCATAAATTAAGAGTATTAACACTTCTCCAGGCACCATAACACAATTGCTTAAGGGCGATGACTTTTTACATTTGTTTCATGATAAAATGATTAAAATCAAAATAGATCATCTCCTGCTCTTAATGGATGCTAATGGTGACCATTAAAATGTTAGAGCTTCATCTTTGAGTCCAAGTGACAACTGATCAAAAGTTGAAGAGGCCAAAACATGTCACGTCATCCATGAGTCAAAGTGAATTGTGCCAGTTATAATGATATTCCCTATACGGGCAGGCCAGATATCACATCAACAGGAACATGAGGTGACTCCTTGACCTTTGGCCTCTAGACACCAAAATCTTGAAAGTTAAAAGTCCAAGTGAATGTTTGTTCCAAGTTTGAAGACATTCCCTCAAGCTGATCTTAAGATAACATGTTTAAGAAAAGTATAATTTGTGAGGCCACCATGACCTTAACCAAATTCAAATCACTTAAGCTTTCAGTCCTAGTGAATGTTTCTGCTAAATGTGAGAGGATTGGGAAATGGGACAGGAGATCACATTTCTCCTGTATTAGTTTCACTGCACTGGCTTCCTCTTAATTTCAGAATAGAGTGGAGTCCTTGAGCTTTATTGTTGCAGAACCAGGATTGTGGCTCCGGTCATATCATGGATCACGAAGATAATCGTAGACTGTGATGGCAGCTGATCATGGATTATGATTACTACAAGATTGTTTCAATAAAAATAGGCCTACTCACATATACTACCAATTTTGGTAATACTGCTATCATTTCAACTGTCATTGCTGCTTCCTTCATCTGTCAGACTTTTTCTTTTGATTAAATACTAAAGTAAAATAAAATAATATACATCTCCATTCATGTTAGACATCGTATTTTCACTTGAATGATGTTAAAATTTATATTTTGTTGTCATTCTCTGCAATAAGCTCTGTTTCCCGGCTTAACTGTTTTTTTTTGGCTGTCATTTTCTTTACTTTTCTTGCCGGTTGAGGGAAGAGGATGTGCAGCTTTTATGAGTAATATTTTCTGCTGTCGGAGATGCGTCATGCTGTATACTATACTTAGTACTGTGGTAAAATCTTACTTTGTGTACATTGTGAACAAAGTAGAAAAACATCTACTTGTTTATGTTTTGTTGTTGTTTATTATGTTGTTTATGTTCATGTAAAGCATTCAATTACACTCTATATGAAAAGCCTTTATCAGAAGCTGTGCTGCGTTAAAACATTATATGTAAACAGACAGAAGTAAAAATTGCAGAAACAGAGAAGGAAGAGGGCATAAAATCCAAAAAGGATCATGTTCAACACAGCATAATGACTTATTATTCCAAACAACAAACTGAAAAAAGAGTGAGTCTGCCTCAAATTAATGTTAATGCTTACTTTACTACACGATCCCTGCCAGATTGTCTAGTGTGTTCTTGCCTAGCTATCCTGCGTTGTATTCTGTGTTCTTGCCTGCCTGTTCCTGACCTGACTGCTACCCCGTTTGGATTTTGGATTCCCTTCTTGCCTGCCCCTTCGGATTTGTTTGCTGTACGGACTGATATCCTGGTTTTGACCTCTGCCTGTCTTTTCTCTGCTCTGTCGGTGAATAAACCACGTTGCCTACACTAAGACTGTCTGTTGGTGTGCTTTTGAGTTCTCCCTTGCCAGCACCAGTGAGCGTGACAGTATATTATAATCTAATTTACCTTTAAATCTGTTGGAGAAGATGGAGAAGTCTTTGATTTCTGGGAGATTTGAGATGCCCATTTCCTTACAGAACTCTTTTACCACATCTGCTGCCATCTAGATGAAGATTAACAGACCACAAAGAATGTTAATTAAAAACAAAAGAGTAGTATTGTTTTAAAAATAATAAATAAATAAAATACATCTTACAGTGAAGCTGTGTATCTTCATCGGGAAATCCCTGCCTCCTGGTAGCTGGATAGGAATGCGTCGAAAGGTTTTGCCAGTCTGCAGAAAACCATGGGACATACCTCAGGCAGATAATGATGGTATGTAGCAGATGAAATACATAATGAAGGATTTGCCTTTATCTGCACCAGTGTATAATTACTTACCAGAATGGCTTCCGTCTCGATATTTGAGGGGATATTTCGGCGACCACCAAAATCGAGAGATCGTTGAAGGTTATCCATACACACAAATGCCAGCTCTGAGAACAAGAGGGTGTGCATCAAATAAGCAACCTATTTTTCCTCAAGTCTTCTTTTAAAACATCCGTGGCAGGTTGTTTTAATTGCTGATATCAGATATCTGTGTCTATTTACTGTGTTGTGTGTCTTGTACCTTGGTATGGATGTTCATTGTCCTGAGAGATGTTGTGTAGGTGATGTGTGATGTATGGCTGCAGAGTACCAGAGCAGGGGAAGAACCCAGTCATCAGGCTCAGCAGCCGCCAACCAAGGGTACAACTGGATCTGTGGAGACAACATACAACAATCCAAAAAATTGTTGAAAGAATTGTGAACAAACCCATTTAAATATAATAATAGTAATAATAATAACTTTATTTGTATAGCACTTATCTAAACAAGGTTACAAAGTGCTTCACAAAAAAAAATTAATGGAAAATTGTATTATATTAAAAGGTAGGGAGAGGGGGGGAGAGAGGAGAGAGAGACCAAGATGAGAGCAGTTGAGCTCTGTAAGACTGGTTGTTGTAATGAAAATAATACTAATAATCTTCAATTGTACCTTGGTGTCAACAGGTGTTTGAGCCTTTTAATCGCAATAATGTTAAAAGCCTTACCTGAGGGTACGCTGAGGCTAAAGGTAAATCTGACTGGCTACTGGCTTGAATGGCAGTGCTATGAGAGACACGTGGCTCAGACATGTGGTAGATCAGACGTCATTATCTCTATGCCTTTTTTTTAACTAAACTAAATACCTACTCTCATAGGCAGCAGATTCAGAAGCTGTCATATCTAAGAAACTACATAACATGTGGTTGCAATAAAAGTAAGACAAAAGGAATAAATAATACAGTAGAACCAGTACCAGAATTACAAATCGCATGTTAAAAATGCTTTCCTATAAAAACATGTTTTGAGCATGATTTAAAGATAGGTAGTGTCAGCGAGTCTAATCTTGTCAGAAAGGGAGTTCCAGAGCATCTGGGCCCTGACAGAGAACGCCAGGTCACCCTGAGTAGTCAGCCTTGACATAGGGACAGCCAAAAAGACAGGCTGGCCAATCTCAGATTGCGACTGGAATTGTAGGGAGTCAGAGCTGTGAAATGTAAGTAGGGGCCAGTCCATGTTGAGCTTTGAAAGTTATTAAAAGAATCATAAAATCAATCCTGAATTTATCTGGCAACCAGTGAAAAGATGCAAGGATTTGTGTAATATGAGACCTACGGTTTGTTTTAGTTAAAATACAAGCAGCAGCATTTTGAACAAGCTGCATACGAGTTACTAAGGTTTGACTAAGGCATGTTTAAAATGCATTGTAATAGTCCAGATAGGAAACGACAAAGACATGTATTAGCTTTTACTCAGTCAGGGAGAGAAAGAATTGATTTAATTTTGGAAATATTTCGTGGATGGAAGTAGCAGGATTTAATGATTTCATTAATTTGTTTTAGTATTGGTTGCCAGGGGAGCAAGAAATGATAGGATAGGAAATATAACTTGTAACCATTACACATCACATTCTACTGATTTAATATTTCACTCTTGCATTGTCAGACTCACAATGGACAGTTAAAAAACTATCAGAATTTATGTAGCACTTTAATTTATTTAAGTGTAAATTTATGTCCAAACTTTCTTCTTCCTGGACAATTATTTAAAACAAACTTAATTTATTTTATATAAAAAGGAAACCAACCATGCATTGGAACTAAAGGAGTTAATACATCTCCAGTTGTTACTTAGTAATAGTATGTAATTGAAATTATTTTGAAAATTCTATTAATGCCTCAGACTCACTTGGTTGGGTTGTTGGTGGTTTGCTTGATGACCTGGCAGTAAAGTTCATCTTGCAGCAGCTCCTTTTCTTTCCCTAGCTGAACATAACAGAAAAACTCTTCTTCTTAAATCCCAAAGTCTGATTGATAGCTATAAATCTTGAATATACACAGTTTGAATGCAGACTGACCAATAAGATATGGCTTAGGCAGGCTGACTGGGTTTTATCCTTTTTCAATGGCATGTCACCCATGAACTGCATCAGGTCTAGAAGGACACACAAATGGAAGCATGACAGAGGAACATCAGTGATCCTGGTGTATATTAGCATGGTGATTGTGACACTCACTCGTGAAGCACTTGACAGATAATTTATTGATTTCAGGATCATTGTAGAGAATAAGGGACTCTTTTATTGGGACCTGAATGAAACAAGAAAACAGGGCAGTTAGTCAAATTGTACTTATTTAGGATATTTCATTGACATGACTGTTCACTTTGAACTCACTAACGATGATAAATATCCTGGAAATTTAGATAGCAAGGCTTGATAAATGAAACAAAGGTTTCCTTATGTTCTCAATGTCACAAATGCTGACCTTTACATTTAACTCAATGTATTGAGTGTAATAGTTGTCTACAGTAATGAATAGAATGACACTAACTAAAAGTATTATTAAACCCAGTTAGCATGAAAGTAAAACAATTTACATCCAGAATAGATAGAACAATGCATATATTTTTATCTTTTTGAGACAAGCTTAAAATTACCAAAAGGGATCTGGACATCATCACAAACTGACTTTAAACTGCAGAAGGCCTGGTTTGTGATGGAGCCAGGACCCCCTTGCTCAAGGGTTGTCCCCCTCAAAATAGCATTGTAAACAGATCTGTTATATAAAATAAGATAAAAATGTGTGCTGAAAGTCCTTTTGTAACAAATTACACAATATAAATACAGTGCGATTACAATGTTTGAAACAAATTGTCACCCCCACCCCCCTTTTCACAGGGGATGTTATTTCTGCCCCAACATCTGTGTATCAGGGCTCGCCGCATGTCCATACCTGACAAGAGACATGAGGATATTGTGTGGTGCTGTACATTCCTGTCATGCTCTGCCCCACATGAAATCTATGCAGCATAGATGAAATATGAGCAAGAAAAACCTAATAAAGCATGTGCCCCACCCTGAATCAATGGGCAGGACAGTACAGATCAGGTCTCAAGCCTGAATTTTGTAGCTGAAAGATGTTTTTCTCCTGACAGGCATGTACCTCAGTCAAGCAGTGATTTCAGCATTTTAAACAGAAAGCCCAGCTTAGAGGGTTATTATACACATGTACAGATTTGTTCTAAAGTATTGTACTGTCTTACCTCTGTGTGTTGAACCACCTCGGAAAAATTTCTTCCACTGGCTGGCAGACCCATATTCCCCACTCTTTAACAAACAGATAATGGTAGCACATAGTAATCTATGTCATGTTATATGAATCTGAATTACCTCAGCAGAATGAGCAATATAATTTGTGTTTTTCTATCATACCTGAAGTATTTAATGGCAAACTTAGCCATAACTGAGAGGATCTCCACATCATTGACTGAGCCCTGAATTGAACTCTGGACTGATCCCTGGAGCAAAGGCTCTCTTCTGGGCCATTCTGAATCAGCACTGCTGATGGGATCAGGAGACAGGCCCTTGGGTGGACTGACAACTTTAGTGCCTCTTATGCTTTTTCTCCCTGCATCTCTTTGGTCACGTTGGAGAGAGTGGTAGTCCGGGGCTGCAGATGGCTGAGTAGCATCTTCTGGGAAAAGACCAGACCGCCCTCCCATGGTCCCAAAACACCAGCCTAGTAGAACACAAAAAAGTAATTTGATGGATTAGGAGATGTGTATAGGCATCAAACAATGTGGTAGTTTCAAGGGTTTGGTATGCCTTACTTTATTCAAACATGTCAAGGAGCTATTTAATGACCTCACCTGTCTGGATTCCTTCTATTGGTAGAAGTTTGATGATGTCACCCTTGCAGAAACTGAGCAGACTCTTGTCATCAGTCACAAAACTCTTCAGGGCAATGACATGACCCGAGTCCTAGAGAGCAGGAAAAGGGATGTCCAGGAGGGTAGTACATGGACTAAAGGTTTTGTGGCTACAATAAATGCATGGGGTCACATTGAAAAATGATGCTACAAAACATCAAAAGAATGGATAAATAAATGTACGATGATAATAGAATTCTACCTTGATGAGCTCCTGAAGGAATAACTGGATCATGGCAGTGATCTGAGGGGCTCTGTGGGACTGCAGCACCAGATTTTCATTCTTCAGCTCCAGTTTCACTCTGCCTGAACCTTGGTCTTCAACTGAGAGCAACTCTGCAAAACTACATTGGGGAGAATACAACAGAAGATAAATATTAGACAATGCCTCACTGTAATCCCAAACAGTTGTACTAGCTCATAACTAATAAGGTCATAACAGTCAAATGTCGTTATGCAGTTGAATATGCACTTCATATTTTATATTTCGTATTTTATATATATTTCTTCTGTTTTTCTTTTTATATTAGTAAGCACAGTTCTTTGGTCAGGCAGTTGCAAAGTAAGAATTTCATTACCCAATAATAAACCACTGTGTCTGTTATTGTGTATATGACAAATAAACATCTTGAATCTTGAATCTTTCTATTTTGACCTTGGTTCTGACTCATCCCTAATAGAATTGCCCTTGGTTTTTCTACCTGCCAACTGAAAACTTCTTAGAATATATTCACAATTCTGTTCCTAATTCATCTTCGTACATTTCTGTGTAATTCTGTCCATGTACAGGTGGTTCCAGAGTTCCACCGAATCAACAACATTAACCTGCGCAATCAATTCTACAAGGAGCTGGACAGACACATGCCTAAACTCATCACTTAGTTCACAGACAAGGCCACCAAGACTGGCAAGATAGCGGAGGAGCTAGCAAAGCTCATGAGGATTTATGACCTTCAGGTGAATTTTTAACTTTGCATGATTCAGAAACAGATTATTAACAGATTGTTTGCAGACAACTGTAAGAAGCCATAGTGTGAATTGCCTCGACTGTGCCCTGAGGTTGAGTGATTTTGCCATGAACACAACGTTCATCTCATCAGAGATAGAGGTCTTGACAAGATGTATTCTATCAGAAAGAGGTACCTTAAAAAGATACTTTATCAGCTTCAATTTGAAGAAGTCCAAATAACTACTTTTTTTCATAAAATTTGATTTACAATTTTATTTTTTTTCCTTTGTGAGTAATTAAAGTATTTACAATAGAAAGTAATTAATTTGAAAAATGTATTACTGAAGAAATGGTGACCCAAAATACTGAATCTACCATCTATAGCAATGACCACCATCAGAATATGGAGCTATTTAACACTTTGAGTGTTTGCTCTGCATTTGTGTAATTACTATTGTAATGGATATTTTTTGTCCATCTAGGAACAACATGATGTAAATATGAGACGGGCCCTCGTCCTTCGTGCACTTCCTGTGTACCTGCGTGATGATGCCTCCAAGTTCCTCAGGACCTGTAATGTAAGTGTACTGGCCTCACTATCAATCCCTTTGCCTAGCTATTCAGTCAGTTTAAACATATGACATCACTCAAAGAACTCTAGGAGAACCAGGGGGATATTCCAGAAAGCAGGTTCAACAAACTCTGAGCCTAACCCTGAACTCTGAGTTGACTTACCCTGTGAAATGAAACTCTGAGTAACACGGCTTCGGCCGTAGTAAAAATCACTTACAGAGTTTTAGATGCTGTCGTCTTTTAATTTTGAATTTAATAACACTTTCTTTTATATAGGCCTTTGAGGGAGTGGTTGAATGTTGTTCAATGTTTTATTTTAGGCTATTTAATTTTATTTAAATCAGCTGAAAATGAAATATAAAAACAGTCTCATGATGGCTCCTCATGTTGGTTTTATTTCACATATTAAACAAAGTCAAAGTTTATTCAGTGGATATTTTAACTTTGAGTAGCTTTTACCACCAACAGATGCTGTTTAACACACATCTGTGTCCTAACATCCTACTGAGAATATGAACATGAAGTGGTGACAGTCACCTCCACCACGTCCAACAGGGCAGAGGAGCTGGGTGACCAGAGGCTGAGGGCGTCACTCACCCCCGGGATCCAACATTAGAGGCAGACACACACTTACTGTCTACAGATTGAACTAGAAGTCATCTAATCTTATACTCAATGCGGCGGCAAACTAGAAACACAGACTTTGAAATTACGTTGTTGGAAAAAATACAATATGCTATACTGATGGTTACTTTTGTAGCTATCTGTGGGAAATAAAGAAAGCCAAATGAAATGTGTGTTATTTCTCTTTTTCTGGCTGCTGGAAGGTGATTGATTAACCTGCGAAGTGATTAAAAAAAAACCGAAGAGGATTGTTCAGATCTGAGAGCACGTCAGCGATGACATGTAGCCTAATATTCGCTGTGTGGCTGGGGAATATAAATGACGGACTGATGAGAAGCAGTCTCCTGTTCGGTTCAGTCCTTGTCAAGGAGTGAGAGCTCATCTAAATGAATCTAAATTCTCCTCCTGGTGTAAAACTATGTGAATTATTTCTGCTTCAACATGATCGGACTGAGAAGGAAAGGACAGCCGCTGTCAGACAGCTCCGTCAGACTCAGGGTTTCTTCAGGTAAACCTACCAGTGAGCAGGTTAGGTTCACAGGGTAAGTTACCGCAGAAACAGACCCAGAGTTTATGCTACCTCTCTTTCTGGAACTGAAAACTCAGAGTTTCTCTCATCTCAGGGTTAACAAACTCAGTTTTCACAAAACCCGCTTTCTGGAATACCCCCCAGAAAGAGAGGTAACTGAAACTCTGAGTCAGTCACCGTGGTAACATACTCTGCAGTTGAAGTACGGCACAGTAGAAACCAGTACTTTATTTGAATGTTTTATTTTTAAAAAGTGAGTGTCAGCCTTCAAGGTACAGTAAGTGCCAAAATGTTTTTAAACAGTGTTAAATGTCTCCACATTCTAATAGTTGTCATTGCTGTTGAGGATGGATTATACTTAGAATCTTACTGAATTTTATCATGAATCCTTTGTGAGTTTTTATCATAGGGTTAACTGAATAATGTTTGATGGAGACCCAAAATACTGAATCCACCCTTTGTAGCAATGACCACTATCAGAATATGGAACTATTAACACTTACTGTACTTTAAAACACATTTTGTTTTGCTGGAGTCCTTTCCTTTTCCTTTTGTTTTAATTTATGACAAGCAATTTGTTTTGACTGAGCTCATTTGATTCGTGCCTTTTAAAAGCACATTGTGTTGAATAAAAAAAGTTGTTGAATTGTCACTGTGGTGTCACTTTCATGTTTTCTAACACTATTAGCTGATTATAATTGTGTAGTGGGCCGACATCAGTATTTCAGTTTATAATTATTTTTGAGTGCCTGTCCCCCAGATTACGAGTTGAAAAATATTGAAATTTTGAGTGAATTACTCAC